TGCCCGGAGGCGGTGCGGGGCTCGCCGGGGGATGTCACAGCGGCTCCTCGGAGCCCCCAGCCGCTGCCGCACAGCCGCCGCCCCTGGGAACCGCGACAATGAACCCCCAATGCGCCCGCTGCGGGAAAGTCGTGTATCCCACGGAGAAAGTCAACTGCCTGGATAAGGTGAGCGAGGGGGCGCCGGGCCAGCCGGGACCTGCCGGGCGCCGGGCTGCACCTGCTCCGAGAAGTTTTGGCATCTGGGATGCAAGGAGAGGAATGGGTCTCTGTGTTTGTGTGTGTCTTGGCACAGGGTCAGGGCGCGCAAAGGAAAACGCCCGCAGGAGTATCAGGAGAGCACGCTTGGCGTTGGTGATGTTGGAACCGGCAGGGGTTTCGTCGGGGTGCGGAGGGCGAGGGTGCGGGGCTGCGCCGGCCTCGAGCTGCTGCGGAGGGCGCGCGGCGAAGCGCGGCCCGGGGTCGAAGAGCCCAGGCTGGACCCCTTCCCACCTGCACTCCTGCCCCTCACCGCCCCGCATCCCCGCCCCAAGGATCCGCCCGCACCCCACCTCACCGCCGCCCCAGCGCCTCCCGTGACGGCTGCGAGGTGGAGAGGCAAAGAATAATTAATATGTCGTGGGGCGGCCGCTGCGGCAGGGCTAAGAATAATCCCCGCCGGAGAGCCTGGCTCGGCGCGGCGGGCAGGATCCGCGGGGCTTCATCCACCCGGTTGGGGAATTCCAGAGGAAGTGGCTTCGGGCCGGCCCCTGCAGCCCTGCTCCCTGCCCTTCCCGGGCGCGGATGGAGTGGACCAGCCTGCGAGAACGACCCCGGCGCTCTCCCGAGTGACTGGTAATTGAAACCAGCCGGAGGCGGTCCCTGTGAAATGTGCGTGTGGTGATAGAAACGCCTCACGAGAGCGCACCGTCACCCCGCCAGGCATCCGGGGTTGAGTCCACCGTCCCCCAAAATTTAGTAGAAGCTGGACCGGGGGCGGGGGGCAGGGGCACTTACACAGCCCCCCTCCTGCTCCTTCGGCTTGCCTGACTTCCGGTGGACCCATGTTTGTGGAGATGCTGCGAACACCGTGTTTAGGCACTTTAAACCGGATTCATCTTCCTTTGGAAGCCACTACACAGGTCCCATTCCTCCATTAGCCAGTTCAGGATTCCGTTCTGGCTGCTCGTAGAAGTGCGGTGTGGATAGAGCTTTGGCAGTTCTTCCGTCAGAGTCTGTACTTGTGGTGGGGATTCATTTAAAACTCAATTTTAATAGCCGCCTGCCCTATTTACTTAAGTGGAAGTAGGCAAACACATCTACTGTTACCTACAATCATTTTGTTGTAGTATTTTCAAATAAGGGTGGGGACGGCCTTGCGCTAAAAATATCCCCTCTCTGTACCCATCCTGGAGAGCGCTGGCATTGTACTAAACTTTTAAATATTTATTATTATTATTTTTTTCAGTATTGGCATAAAGGATGTTTCCATTGTGAGGTCTGTAAGATGGCTCTCAACATGAACAACTACAAAGGCTATGAAAAGAAGCCCTATTGTAATGCGTAAGTATTGTCAACATAGCATGCCCGCTGTGGCTCGGCATCAGAACATGAAAGCAAGTGGATCTGCCTGTTCTGGAGAACTGACTCACTGTGTCACGCAGGTGGGGCGGTGGCCAGTGACTTGTTTCTGCCACAGACTCTGGGGCCAGGTACTTTGTTGGAGGACTCATGCATGGCATGTGCGTCTTTCTTAATGGGGAGGGTAATTTGTGTGTGTCTTCAGCCAGGTCCGTTTTGAGGTTCACAGTGTTGCAGAGTTGGGAACATTTGTTAGAAGCTGCAGAACTACACCCTGAGAACGTGTGGGCTCTGAAGTGCATGTTAGCTTTCCATTTTAATCATATGATGTTGCCATATTGCAATTTTACATCTGAACCTAGTTGCTAGGGAAAGGAGTCTCTCGCTTCATCTCAGCCGAGACCACTCCAGAGATCCTAGAGCTTACACGGGGAACTAAAGAACGGAGACATAGGTATTTCTGGCTGGTTAGTAGTAGGTCTGTTGGTGGGGATTAAAGAAGGTAACCTTTTTTTTGGCAGGCTTTTCTGCAGGCGTGCTTTTAGCCTATACCACTAGCAATTAGCTAGCGTTTATACAGTGCTTACCATGTGCTAGGCCCTATTCTCAGCACTGTATGCATACTGACTCATTTCATCTTTACAGACTTAGGAAGGGGCTCAGATCACCCCTCTAATCTAGAGATGGGTAAACATTGGCCATTGGTTCCAAATGTCTCCTTTGCTGCCCTGGGGCATATGTCTCTCCACTTCTTGAACATCCTCCCACCCCAGAGTGTTTTCATCTGTGGGCCCTTGGCCTTGATTGTTGAGCTCCCTTCTTCCCCGTTCCCCTGTGGGGGCCTCTCCAGCCTGGAGGTGGCAGAGGATCCCCAGCCTTTTGGCTGGAATATTGCCAGAGATTCATTCTCTCTAGAGTTTTTGAAGTAGGTTCGTTCAGGTCTTCCGGAGATGGAGGGCCCATGGTTAATTGACACTTTGCTCACGGGACTGTGTTTTCATACATAGTAAGTTTTTGGTAAACAAATGTAGTGTGCTCATACCTCTCTGGTGAAGAACTTTTTTTTTTTTTTAATCCCTTTGTGTTTCTGTTGGTTCTAGCTTAGTGCTTATGGATAGACTAGAAACTTTTCAAGAAATCAGAAAATGGGGGCACTGAACAGAATTCAGGACTTTTTTGGATAAGTGAAGCTCACAGATATTGCCCAAACTCATCGATGTTTTCAACCCTCCTATACCATGCCTTTCATAAGGATAACATGAAGCAAAAATGAGATTTCAGTGTCATGGTCTCCTGCTTCTCTTAAAGAGAGGTATGAGGGACTGGTTAAACATCAAAGGCAGTCAGCAGTACCTAGATGGGAAAGGGTCTCCTACAACCCATAAACGAGATAATTGTTCTTTAGTTTAAAGGAAAGTGAGCCATTTTTCCGTAACTACTCCAGCCCGTGGCCTGATTCGATCAGGCTTTATGGGCCACACAGCCTGGAGTTTAACCTGGTGATAACAATGCCTTTGGGTGGCCCTGGTAGGCCTGGAGGAATTGGGAGGAGAAGAGGAAAGACAGGAGAGAAAGAAATTGAGGAGAGAACAATTACATTTAATATGATATGATGGAACATATATATATATTTGTTATGTGTGTGTGTATACATATACACGTACACACACACATATATGCACCTATAGATAGATAAAGAATTGAATTAAGGAGAAAAGAAATGATAAAAATAAAAGGCCAGAAAAAAAGAGATACAACTGAAGGAGAGTGTGTTTGGTTGCTTTGGGCCACTTGACAATTCAGTGTTTACTGCTTAGTTTTAGTTCAGTCCAATTAAAAAAGAATATCAGATTCTGCAGCAAGTCATCAATGGCTGGTTTGCACTCTGACTTAATAGTGAACTAGTGCCCAGAACAGTTGAGATTGGGACCCCAAAACAAAAAACCTCTAACTGTAGGTGGGAAACATCCTGCTTTGTTGTTTCATAGACTGAGTCTCATTTTAAATACTTTGGGTATGTCTAAATCAAATGCTTACAGATTTTTCTCTCTAAACTTTCTTATATAATGCATGTACCTTGGTATTAGGTTTAAGGGGAATTTTGGGGATAGCATCTCAGATTTCTTGCTTAGTATGAAACCCAGTGTTTCACCTTGTTGAGCAGACTAACAGGGGAAGACAGAAATCTAGCTTTAGTGGGTGAATGATTCGAATTGATGGTGTCAATTTGTTTAATTTAGCTTTAAGTTCATGTCACAGCTTGATATGCTGTCTCCAGAAACAGAGCCTGGCGAAGTTGCAGGTTCTGTCTGCTGTGAAGGTGCCAGGCTGGAAGGCCCCTGTTCTCAACCCTTATTTTTCCAAGGGCATAGGTTGCCATATAAACTCACTGGGCAGCCGTGGATTACCCTCTGGGGATTCTGATGCCTCCGCTCTAATTCAGGTGCTGTTCCCTGTGGTCTTGGCCAGAAGGGTTACCATAATTTCTCTGGGTCATTGGTGGAAAATTGATTCTCTGAAGCATACTGTTACTAGAAAATGAAACATTCTATGTCCATGCAGTATTTTATCTGTACCCAGTTTGGCTTAAGAGTCAATATATGTCCATGTTTAAATGAAAATGACTATTCTTACCCCCTCAACTTGTTATCGTGAAAAAGTGGTTGAAAGAATAATACAACGAACATCTGTATATCTTCCACTGAAATTCCACCATCATTAACATTTTGCCACATTTGCTTCATATTTCTATTTAGGTATATTTATGAACATATTTATTATTGTCAGACCATTTGTCAGTTTCACGCATCAAGTTGGTTTCATATGTTGATATTTCCTCCCTGAAAACTACATCATCCACATACTAAGAATAAGGATATTTTCTTAAAGAGTCATAAAGCCATTGTCACACCTAGGAAAATTAACCAAAATTTCGTAATATCTAAAATCCTATTTTCACATTTCCCCCATTGTCCTAAGAATGTCTTTTATAGCTGCTTTTTTTCTTTTTAAACCAGATCCAATTAAGGTTCAAACTTTACTTTTAGTTGTTGTGAAAAAAGATAGCTTTTTTTAGTTATTGGAGATTAGAATTCTTTAATTTCATTTCTGTTGATTTACATAATCTGTCAGAGTTCTCATGAAGAGAACTTATGTAGCATTTCTTGTGAAAAAGACCTTTAAAATAAATATCAAGAATATGCTTAATAGTTTGAAAGCATAAACAGACATTTAAGCTTATTTTAAGAAAACATAAAAGCTTTTTATTTTAATTGATACCTGGGGGCATTTTTTTTAATGGGATGAAGTAGTGAGTATTTGCTTTGCTTTAAATACGTTGCTTATTTATATTCTCATGTGTTTAGAGAAGAAACAAGTTTTCTGTTTGATTTCATGCAAAGGAAAACACGTATAAAATATAATTTACATAATATTTAAAATTTGATCTTTTGATAGAATGATCAAAGTGTATTACACACTACATGTAAGACGGGCATAATACACATTAAGCTCCTAATGCAGTAGTGCCCACTATTAAAATATTTAAAAACAAACTGGTCTACTTGAATACATGCCATGTTTTCATAGCCTTTATGTTTCATTAAGTATGTTTCAGGCAGTGGATTCTTTAGCACATTCAGGATTTTTTTTCATCATGTAACTTGCAAAGAAAAGAGGACGAGGCAATATTTTTATTGCTAAGAGATGTTGAGAAAATAACAGTACATGATTAGACAAAAAACACACCTCATATTTGTATGTGAATATATATGCCAAGTTAAACTACCCAACAAACCACCCAAAGCATATAAACCCCAAGGCCATTTGACAAATAAATTATTTAACTTACCATGTGTGAAAGTCAAAATTGCACTTATTATATGTTTGTAAAAAATACATAATTTCTTCAGATTTTCTGAGAAATATTATAGCTTAGAAATAATAAGAGAAATAATAATAAGGCGGGCCAGTTAATATAGTGGCACCAAAAGTCTAGTTATTTTAGGTCAGGGGAGGCCCCAGTTAATGATGCAATAGTTTTAAGCAGGACCTTGTCAATAATTTCCCCAAGTCATTACTTTTGTGGAAATTTTTGGGACGCTGAGAATTTGTCCTGATCTGCCCACATTTGATATACCTTGTATCTGTGTCAAATGTATCTTTAAATATGGGGCTGAAAGAACACAAATACCTGTGCTCAATGTGTTTAACTGTCTTTCCAAATAAGATTCCCTCTCAGCAAATAGTTTCACTTAACATCATTTTGGGAGATGTTTAAAAACAAAACAGTAGGAGCTGTGCGTCGTGTTTACTTTTGCTCTGCCTGTGTTAGCATTCATCTTGTGGATATTTATTGCCCATCTACAGCCTGGGAGATGCTGAGCTAGGTACTGCTCATTCTGAGCCGCCCAGAACGGTCAGTGCTGGTCAGCCAGCCTGTCTTGAGGCTGATTATCTGGGCCAGTGCTCCACTAGCTCTCACGTACCGTTTCTCTGCTGGTCAGTCCTTGTTAGTGCCTTTACTAAGGGGTGCTCTGAGGACACGGAAGGAAATTGAATTTAAACCCGAGAGTTTTTCCACCAATATATTTCCCTTATCTCTGTTTAGACCTCTCAAACCCAGTTCTATAACCCTCCAAGGGCTTGAGTTATCTCAAGGGGACTTATGAAATTCTTGCTATTAAGTTAGCTTTAATTACTTAAGAACTTTTCACGGAAGGCACTGTTGTGTAATTGGAGTTTCGAAGCAAGACAGAACTGTATTTGAATCCTGGCTCCATCATGTTCTGCTGAGCAAGTCCCTTGATCTCTAAGCTTCAGTTTCTTATCTGGACAATGGGAATGGTAACGCTCACCCTTACAGGGCTGTATGGGACTAAGGAGACAGTGCACGTCAAGGTTCCGGCAGTTTCTGGCATATAGCAGACCTCCAGTAAACAATAGTGCTTTTATTTCCTCAGTGGGACTTTTTTGAGGGATGA